GCCAACGTGTGGTAACAATAGACTACCCTATACCCCAAGCAGTATCGGTGACGCACTAGCTAACGCCGGTGAATCTCCGGCGTCTTGATGGTCAGTTGTTCGCATCAACGCTCCGACAACGAACAGTTTGCGCCTCTCTGCACCGCCCTCGGCAGCCTTGATCGCTGGAGAGGATGATTGTTGTCAGAGACCCGCGACTACGACATGGCATTTGAGGTGTCGTATGATCTCGAGAATGAGCAACAGTTCTGGGATGGTGAGAGCGCCTGGCAACCCCACCAACAGCCTCGACTAACACGCTACACAGAACTCGACGATATCGTCTCGACGCGCTGTCACCAGCACGAGATAATCGACAACTCGCTGCGATCCTTCCTTAATGTCACTACGAATTATAGATGTACGCATCTCCAACCTCTGCCGTGACCAACGTTGACCACCACCAATAGCCGAATACCTCCAAACCGACTTCAGCGTCGCAAAATGCATCTTTCGCATGCTCGAGGGCGACCTCTTTGCCTCAAACAAGGCATATGTACGGCGGCAGATAATATATTGTCTTTTGCAGGTATGTTGGTGCATGTCCGGAGCGCATGGTCGCTGGCTGAGCCTGAGGCTGACCAATGCGATAGGAAGATGATAACCCTACTCTTCACATAGTGGCCGCCTTCCTCCTCTACGATGGTCGCAATAGCAAAGACGATGATATCTTTGAGATGATGCACTCGGAAGGCACATTTGCTAGACTTGTTGAGTTGGTGCAAACGCCGAGCGTGCAAGAGGAGACCACTCTGCATCAACTACTTCTACAACTGCTCTACGAATCTTCACGGGTCCAGCGATTGACGTGGGACGACTTTTGTATGGCAACGGCACCATTTCCCATCTTTCCTCAAAGCCATTGCTAACGCTTGTTGTGTAGCTGCGGTGAATGACGCCTTCATTATTTACCTGCTGGAGATCATAGAAGGTGCTTCCGACGATGCTGACGATCCATACCACTATCCTGTGATACGCGTTCTGGTCTGTCTGCTCGTACCCCCTACCAAGTCTTGAGCTGACACCAGAACAGTTGGTTTTGAACGAACAGTACCTTGTAGCGTCGACTAGCCGTCATAGCGATGGACGACCTGGAATAACGAATCGGGTCATCAAAGCTATCTCGACTCACGGAATGACCTACAAAACTTTCGGATGCAACTTGATTCTTCTTCTGAACCGCGAGTCGGAGACCTCCCTTCAGCTTCTAATCCTCAAAGTGCTTTACCTTCTCTTCGGTAATCCTTCCACGGCCGAATACTTTTACACCAACGATCTTCACGTCCTGGTCGACGTCATCCTTCGAAACCTTATAGATCTACCACATGATTCGGCTGCTGCAAACGCATTACGACATACCTACCTCCGCGTTCTATACCCGATACTCATGCACAGCCAAATCAGCAAGCCACCGCATTATAAGCGTGAAGAACTATTGCGGCTCCTCCACCTCCTCGTCTCAAGCGGTAATCATTTTGCTCCCGTTGACGAGACCACCGTACGACTTGTGAACCGATGTACTAGTGTGCAATGGTTACAGCCTCCCGCTGCCACCGCGGAACACGGCTCGACCAATGGCAATGGTACCACAAACTCACCGGTAGACCATGTGGCGAACGGTCAGAAAGAGTACGCACGACGAGCGCTGGGCATGACTGTGCAAGGTAGTAGCGAGAGCTCGACGAGCGTCTTGGAGATCGCAGGTCACACTGCACAACCTGGCGTACAAACGCCAAGTATGTCAAAGGTGGCGCAATAACACGTCGGAATGTTCTGAAGCTATGTTGAGCGACAGGCGTCTTGTGATCGTTATTTAGTGGTTGCGCGGAGTCTGGCGAAGTCCCTTATCAGCGACTTCAGATATCCACACGTCAGTGGAGGCAGGTCGTACTTACACTTGCATGGTAGGAGTTCTGGGCACGTCTAGCGTTCTGTCACCAATCGTGTATCCTGTTTCATTCTACAATCACCTCGACGTCTTCTAGTGGTGGGTCCCTATCATCAATCTGTCTTTGTTTTTAATGCACGCCCCTGGATGGTTGTCCCCGTCCGCTTACGCAGCCGAATGTGGCACATATACAAAGAAATTGAAATCTTGGTCGGGACACTTGCTGAGTCCACAAAGTTCGCATACCCAAGCAGTGGTCTAAGTATCTTACTGCACATGTGGCACCCAGACGTTTTCTAGTCACATGACAGAGGTCGAGCCCAAATGAGAATCCGATCCAGACTGTGAATCTGTTCTCACTATAAAGATCGACATTGCGCAATGCTGCCAAGCTTGCCGCGCTACTTGGAACAATGTACATCGACATCATGTATCCAAGCGGCACATATCAGATACCAACCTCTTACACGCACCAGTCACTTTGGTACTACCCACTCATGCACAGACAACGTCCACCGGATACAAATCTTCCACCGACGCTTTTTAATCTACGCACCATAGGAGCCCTGGCCCCGCGTGCACCACAGAAGGTGCCGCGACAAGACGAGCGGATTGCTTGGCTTTCCGCTATATAGATGAGCCACAGCCGCGGTTAGTGCGGGTACCAAGACTGCGAAGGAAGGTCAAGACGGAATGAGAGATTTTTGTATCGCTTGTTCGGGCTAAGGCTTGCTTATTGCTCCCTTATGATGGTGGGCATGTCGTTTCCGGCTTGGACGTCACGATGGTGGCTGAGTATGCATGTACATCCGTGGAGGCGTCAAAAAGTGCTCAAATCATCCTGTATCGTCATAAGCGTCTTGTTTGAGAAAGTCTTGGAAATGCTGCTAAGTCTTTTGCGACTTTTGGAAGAGTGGTTCGCTTTCTATTCTGCCGAAATGCCAAGTAGACGACAACACCGGAGTGGCATCTGGCATCGTGATGATGATCAACAGCATAGTGGACTTACCCCATAGATCTAGCATGACTCTCATCAATCTCCAGGCGCGTTAGTTAAGGTGGCTTCCGCTAGAAGCGCCACAACGGTGTGACTACCCCAACTTACTCCGTTACATCGCTCGCCACGGTGTACTTCGTATGTTTCACAACAAAAGGTCCATTCCCTTGTTCTAGGCTCGATTAATCCCGCATCTTCTGGCTGTCTGCTCTTCATACCCGCTGCACCGTCGCATGGGTCCGCGGTGGTCACTGCATCACCTAGTAGCTAACCACTGCAACGCACAGATGATCACACCGCTCAGCATCCAAATCACGAACCAAATAGTCATATGTGTTGGTTTCCGAACGCCAAGTGTTCGGAATCTCGGCCCAGGCTTTTGAACCAGACTTTGCGCCTCTGCACCGGAGAGGATGGTTGTGAGACTACAGGGGTGGTCTCTCAATTTATCCCAGATGTTGAGGCTGTTTTCCTGAGTCTTTCGCCTGGTATTCATTTCTTGCGTTAGCATATGCGAGATAGAATGCAGGTGATGAAATTATATGACTATGGATACGTGTACGCACGCAAGGTACCTTCGGGCCCCCACAACATTGTTGCCGCAGCGAAGCATCTGCCCTAGATTTGAATGCTGGCGTTATAATTTGGCTTGGCTATTGTTGGTGCGTAGTTCGGGGACGCAAGTCTTTCTCAGATTGAGTCTGAGACGGTAAGCCTATGTGATGCAATCAATATCGTAGCGGGTGCTACTACAGTGAAAAGGAGACGACAAGATGGGTGTGTAATTGTCATCATGATGTCTCCAATCTTTTGAGCACATACATGCCTAGTGCGCCTTTACGGATCGGAAAACATGGGGCATTACAATGTTCCATATCCTATCTACCATGGAACTCATGCTTCTCGAACAAAGATGATCAGTGATCAACCACTTAGGTATGTGTCACCGTGCCTACCGTGTCAACGTTCGGTACCACGGAAACAATGGAGATCGCTCACCGTGCACAAATACGATACTGCGTCATCAGAAAGCTATACGCCTAGATTTCCAAACTTGTTACTCCAAGATCTATGACCATCAGGATAAATATCAGGCACACATGAACAAGATACCACTGTGCTTGGAGCATTAGTATACCGAAAGCGGAAGAAGCCTTAATTAGGCAGACGAAATCATTACTGCGGCACAATGACAATGAGCGATAACAATATGAGATGTACATGCCTTTGAGAGGAGATGCCGGCCAAATGATCCTTTCGCGAAAACGTTTGTTTACAAACAGCGTCCTAGACCCGACACCAAATAACCCGGACACTCGGACGTCGACGCATGCCGACCTCGTTTACGGAACTACCCTAAAGCAGGTTCCCCCAAAACGCGAAACAAAGCTTTTGCACATCGATGAAATGACAGATTGCGATCTTCGTACTGTAATTCCAAGATCTACGGGACGTGCGTTGTGGAAGCCCAAACTGCCGCGCCGAGCCGGAACAGTGATCAATTTGAACCACTGCCACGGAACTTGGTGATGGACTCGTGATATGTGCGCATAATATGACAATGATTCATATCCGTGGGGCTCTTGCAGCCCGAAAGCCCGGATGCTGCGGTATGAAGTGCTGATTGAGTGAGCCGCAGAGCGATGTGCGGGAATCTCGGGTACGATGTTCGTCACTGGATCACCACGTTCACAAAGTCATGTCACGGCTGGAAGGGGACATCTGAAGCAGGAGTATGATCAAAAGTTTTAATTTCAAGCGCTATGAATTGTAAACTGATGCTCTACCCGTGATCGAGGGAGCTCCGTGCGCCTACATTTGTCTCGAAAAGTGATTCGAGACAGAGAATTTTGGTTGACGGGAACCCTCGATGTCCTCCGCAAAGAAATCTAGTCATAATATGCCGCCGAAAGATGATAGGATATAGAAAGAGCCTGAGTAAAGAAACACATGACCCTTACATGCTAACAAGAAACTTCGTGCAAGCATTCATGACTTCGTAAAGGGATACTCCAGGCGCCTCGCAGAAAGTACAATCAAGAAAGACTAAGGAAACCGCCCGGCGAATGAGGTTCTTTAGACCATCTGGCCGGCATCGCTGACATTGTCGGAGGAAGCACGCGGTGAGGGAACCCGGGTAGGGGCTTGTGATAGTGGGTCAGGTGATGAGGTAGGGTCACTGTCCCTACGCTTCTCAGATGTCTCAGCCTTGCTCAGTCTGCGAATGATTGCCTCCTTCGCATGCTCGCCATTATCGCATGGTAGATACCAGCGAGAGATGATCATGCAAATACATGAGAGCATGAGGTTAGTACCGGACCACATCTGAACAGTGATGTACGTGTTGTACTCTGTGATGAGATGGCCAGCAATGACGGGGCCGGTAAGGGCAGGGATGGCTGCAAACGTGTACATCATACCGGTCCAGTGGCCAAGCTTCTTCTTTGCAAAGTGTCTCGTGTCAGGTGTGGCGTAGGTGCAGTTGAGAATGTTGCCGATAGACGCAGGAGGGAGACCAATGACCATACCAGAGAAGACACCGAAAACGACGCAGAAGGCGATAGCGTCGGTCTCTGATCCAGCCAATGTCCAGAGGACCAGTGTGAGCATCGACGCGGTGAATTGAGAGCCGATATGCATATTGAGGGCGCCGACTTTGTCCGAGAAGTGCGCGAGGAGCATGCGTCCGACAGTCGAAGCTCCGTTCATGATGACAAGGAGCCAAAACGTTTGAAGAGGTTTGTCGGTCGTGTCGGAGGGGCTTATTGGGGAACCTGTCCGGTCGCGAGTGCCAAAGCCGCGCACTGATGCCCACTAAACACTGTTAATTATCGGCGTGGTAGACAGAACAGAGATACTAACCTCTTCAAGGTTGAAGAAGACCGGGTAAAAGCCAAAGAACATGAACGCAACGGCAGCTGTGAACCAGCACCAAGCCTTGTTCTTGAAGGCTTCAGTATCGAACCAAGTCCTAAGCTTACCCCAGCTCTTCGGTTCGTGATGCTCGTGGGCAGGGTCTGGCGTGCAGAAGATGAAGGAGTAGATGCATGTCACCGAAGTGAGAGTGGCAACGTAGCGTACTGCGTTATTGAAACCGACAGACTGGATCAAGTAGCGGAGCATGCTGGGGTAGATCACGCCTGCTACACTGGCACCACAAGCCACATAGCCTACAGCAAGACCCCGGCGCTTGGGAAACCATGTTGAAGCAACTGGAATGGCGTTAGCAGGAAGTAGTGTAGAGTGATGAATGTAACTCACCTTGGGAGCTGGAAACGAAGAAGGTACCCATACCCAGGCCGACCACAAGGCCCTGAGTTGCCCAGATCGAGCCGAAGTTTCCAAGAGCCTCAATGTCGCTGGGATGCGCGACAGAAAGCATGAAAAGACCAAAGGGTACAAGGAAAGTACCACAACCGATCACCTTGCGAGAGTGACCAGCATCCAAGAGCCGCCCGACCACGTTCGACAGCAGAAGCACAATAAAGGATTGAGTCGAGCCGATCAGGTTCAGTTCAAGCTGATCAGTACCTCGGAGTGAGTGGCCAACATAGTATGAGGACCACGTGCCGTAGGCGTTGACTAGTCCCCACGAGTTGAACATGAGGAAGAAGCAGCCTAACAAGCATGCGTAGGCACGCCATGATTGCGGCCAATTGGGCTCGTCGAGTGTGTCGACACTGGCGTGTCGTGATTCGTCTCGCATAGAATTGGTCGCGGTAGGTGCTTCGGAGAGTGGCAGCGTTCCTTCGCTGTACTTCCGACTCTCTTTGTAGGTAGATCGTGTAGGTGGCATCTTGACCGTGGTTGCTGTAGGTGAAGACGGTGAGGCCAAAGAGGGAAGAGCAATCAGTTAATTGGGAAAGCGTTTGTCGTATGAAACGATAAGATGCTCAACACAGATAGCACGTGTTGGAGGGGAAGCGCTCAAATGGACGCACTGGTGATAGATTGATACAGATTCAAACAACTGTCAAAGCGGCGGGGATGGGGTATAAGTACGGTACTCATGTGCAAACACTCACGGAACTGGGGAACGAGCCTAAGGCTTGGGTTGATAGAGGGTTCTTTTACGGCTCCACTCTTGCTAAGCACGCGCGTAACCCCCATGTAGATTGTGGCCACCTTCTCCCACAGTGACGTGGTAGTCAAACTGGTCGTGTAATGGGGAATGGATGCCGCAGGGCACAAGCAACGCAGGGGTGCAAGCCCAAGAGAAGCCAAGGCCATACGGAAGTCTGAACTCCGCCGGTGGCAGGGAATACTTCATTACTCTGCTAGAGGCTTCAGATGCCCTGCGGCCCAAAGCTTAGTGCGGCGCGTTAATCCGGTGGAAGAGCGATCAGCGGTGGTAGATTCTCCGGCGCATCTTGCGTTTGGGCTTCCCCACGCTCACTCGTTGTCGTGAAAACACGTCCACAATGTCGTCTCCCAGGGTATTCCCTTTGACTGCTGGTGACCTAGGCTGCTACAAACTAGGACGTTGCCACCTCTTTTTACTGAATGTGTGTGTCGCAATTGGCGGTTCTGAACCGCGCTGGGCGACACTACCATGGTACATGGACCAAGCATCTCCTTTCCCATAATTGCGTGTGCGAATATCGAGATTGCTCATAGGCTGTGCAGTCTTGGCTTGTTCCACCAAAACGAAGTCGTCCGTGGGCATAGACACTCGGTAGACGATGATAGGGGTCGATACGTCTAACAAGGTTGTATAAAATAGCGGAGCGGGCCCCAGCGCTTGGCAGAGCGTCAGCGGGAGGCATGATGAGTGATGCGGCTCGATTGGGTCCGTATGCCAAGAATGTGCTCGAGTAGTGATGTACAATCCGCCTTGGCTGGCCCAGTTATATTGCAAGGGCCAAAGATGAGTACTCTCGCGGTACTACCGCTGAGACTTTTACAACTCTGGGCAGTTCCTGGATCAGAGCGGATGCGCCGGCCGATAATCTGGATGGAGACGCGCAAGCACATGGAGGGTGTCGACACTAGACATGCAAAGTCACTGTGGAGGAGGGTCGAGTGTCACCCGCAATACCTTGAGTACATGATAGAGAGGCCACGCTAATGTTGGCGGCGTAACAAGATCAGCGGGCCGGTGCGGTTCGTTGCTTCGTTATCTTCAGTTTCAACACAGCCACAACCGCTTCATACGGTCAGGGATCGACGACTAGGGCGCTCTGCCAAGCATCAGCACCCACGCTGGCGTTGATGCTTTGTTCTTCCCGCCGTAACGAAGATATGCTCTCAAGGAAACGTATCATGTTGCGAGTCGGTACGGTTGTGGCTGCATGAGATTCATCACCCTGCATTGCGACGAGTCGTCCAGCGACACACATCTATGTCAGTGCTTGGTTGTCAGCTAAGATGCATCTTTTTTGTTGACGGACGACGCGCGGAAAGTGGACTCTAGGATTCCGAAAGCGCATGGAGTGTGTTGGGGTAGAATGGTGGAGAAGAGTTAAGGCTGGCGATCAGCGACGCTACCTTCAGAGAGTTTGCTTTGCCAAGGCTCTTTGTCGGCCGGGCAATTACGCGTTCAGGAAGTCCTCGCACAATATCAATCCGATCCAGCGTCGAGACGAGCACCAGATACTATTTCTAATCCGATCTGGAAACAAGTCCAAGCCCGATATCTTCCTAGGTCTGTGCAGATCTCCCCTGTCGGGAAGTGTCAAGAGCCGAGAAGAAACAAAGAAGCATCCCGCGCAGAACTGCGCTACATGTTACTCAAATGACAAAGGCAAAAGAGAATGTTATCTTGCCTGATTCCTCGCAGTCGTCTTGTTGCATAACAGCCAGAGTTGAGCCTCGCCACGGTAGCGGTCAGCTGGCGGCGTCGTCTCTCCGTCGCGATAGCTAGTCAGTTTCCTATCATGATGGCGAGGCACGAGCTGAATTCCCGCGGACTTCATCGGCTACGTCACAAGTGTTCCACAATAGTCCCATGGGGAGGAGGACCCTTGGAAAACCGGGACTTGTCCAACGTTCTAACGAATGTAGCGAAGTTGTACCGGAGCCGGACGTTGAGTAGCGGATATCGTCATGCATGCTACTTTGCAGTGCCACATACATGCTGCCGCAGTCAGTCCGCACAGCGGAACCATGTCGTGATTTAGCTTTCGAACGTTGACCTTTTGGGTTGGCTGGGTAAGGCCTCCGTGTATCGTCCGATGAGCAGCTGTGACAGCGGAAGCGGCGTTTGGGCTTCGATCGCAGTTCTACGGCTAGATGCTCGGAGATTACGATAGGGTGTGACTGATGGTATCAATCGCATGGTGTTGTCAGCGACTTCCGAGCATGGTCGGTTCGCTTCTCTATGCGAATTTGCGCGAGCGCGCCCGTCCGCAGTCTGGTTCAATAATCATTAGCGAGCGCGAGCCAACTTGTTGAGATTTAAGAACTCGTATCTTATTATCACGGTAACCATTCTACCTAATGTGTGTTAGTTCATGTCGTGGTCAATTAAGGGGTCATCAGTTATCATCTCAGTACTCCCGCTGGTGCATGCGACAATGCCAAGTCCTGAACTGGAAGGAAAACTCACCCAGGAAACATTTCCATCCACTCCAATCCTCCGAACCATATGGAAGAGAGCCTTTCGATTTCCGCCCCCGCCATCACTGATAGCGCTGTGGAAGAAACAAGCAAATACGAGCGGAACGCCACAAAAAAGGACCCCCTGCGGAGGCGTGCAGTTTCCGTGTGTCAACATCAGGCCACTTCAAGATGCAACTCCGAAACGCGATTCCGCACCTATGAGACGGCGGCCTCGAAACGACAGCCGCCAGGGCGGAGCGGAGAGCGGAAGACGTTGAAACAAAAGAGATGATGTTATGGCGAAGCGCTTCAGATCCTTCTTGTCGTCTGCTGGGCGTAACTGGGCAGGGCCGACTCGCCACGTTGTTAGAGGTCCGACGACTGCTCCGACTTGGAAACGACAAGGAAACGACAAGGCGGCGACCAAGACCGACAACCGCCGCACTCCATGTCAAAGATCATTTCGACTCGAACCGCTGCCCCTAGCATGTGTTGGCCTCAGGCGGAGCGGGAGGCTCAGCGCTGTCTGTGGCGCTGGGTTCCAGGTTGCATACGGAAAGGGGTTTCCATAGGCGACACGACTTCGTGACTCGCAAAGAAATATTCACTCGGGCAATCACGACTGCGCTGAGACCTCCCGTTGGGCACTGCCATGCTTTTTCCACATGTCTCGGCACCTAAGGCACCACAAGGCAACGGGCAACAAGCAACGAATGTCTCGCACGTTCACCATCATGGTGTCAGAGCGCGGCCTCCGAGAGTACCGCAAGCTCAACAAATATAACATTGGGCTCGCCACAGGTAAGTGCGGTCTTGTAATCAAACGATCCAGGAGTTAGCACGATCCTTCCATTTGACCACCTACAGAACGCAGCCAATTCCATCATATACTTGGCATGGTGTCTTGACTATACCCAGACACTACCCAGTCGGCGTTTAAGCAACACTCTGATAACATTTCAGCGACACACAGCGCGACGTGTGAGAATGATTTATTTACACCCTCTTGTATTCCAGACGGTAACCAAGGCAAACCAATTCTACTGCAAGCACCTTTTCAAAATACAATTGTATACGAAACAAGCTTGTCGAAACAGCAGCCACATGTTGCGACGCTTGACACTGGTGTATTTTCTTTCCCAGTCTACACGTCTATTCCAATCCTCTCTCAAGTACATTTTTCTCGGTCTTTCGCACTCCATCATTGAACAACTCCGGTCAGACCCGCGAAGCGCTTGCGCCTCTACCCGGGCGCATCCGAAGAAACTCATGTCGGAACAATGCTGTCATACTGGCATAACAAGCAAATTTCCCAATACTCTCATATCCTTGATGCTTACCGTCAATACCACTACCCTCACTCTTTCCAACACGTCTTCGTTGAGCTGGAATATTGATAACACGAATTTCGCCATACTTTCGGCGCCGCAGTTGTCGTACGCGCGTCGCAGTATTTGCAAGTAGTAAAGGGTTGTTGAGGGGATCCGAGACATCTCCGACCAACAAAACAATGATACACAGAGACGACAACAACAAACTATGCAAAATCGTGTTGTCAGGACTTTGCTCCGAGGAAGCGTCAAGCTGCCATGGCTTGCTTAGGTAAACGCGTGGCTGCCATGTGGCCACGCAATCGTAACATTCATTTTTTCTTCTCAATCTTCTCGATTTGTCATGTTCTGTTCTAACTGGGGTTCTTTTTCACGAATGGGTCAGCTGGTCGTTCGGCATTCGGTGATTTCTCGTGGAAAGTATATAGAAGTCGTCGGCTTTCATGGTGTATATTCTCTCTACTCGAGTAATGGGATAGCTTTCGAGCAATGTCATTGTGTAGTCAACAATGCGACGAGCTTGAGTGTAAAGACAGCAGGTTAGATGACACGTCACACGAGACACAGTGTTGCACCACAGCAGACAAAAGCACGTCATGGAATACGAATGGCTGTCATTACTCTAGCTACAAATACAAGTTCGCTAGACGCTTGCCTCATAACGCCATGCTCCAGGGACGAAAGATTACTGTCCCGTGTTCGAAATCAGAAGCTGAAGAGTCAAAAAAGAAGCTCCCAGCGCCACTACGTCAGGGCGTGGAAAGCAGAGCTGCAGATGGCCATGGCCAAATCGCCCGAGGGGATATCATGTCTGCATATCGCATATCGCATGTCTCGTCTAAACACCCTTGATAGCAACGGTGCGCTCGCTGTTCAGCTTGTCCGCATTCCGGTCGTGGCTCTCCTTCTTGCAGTCCTCCAGTCCCTCGCACTTGTGATCCTCGAGCATGCGATGACGGCTGCAGTGCCTGCCCTGGCAGAAGCCGCAGTCACCGACAATGGGTTGTGCGCGGTCCTTGCAGTCCTTGAAGGAACAACGGATCTTCTTTGGGGGCATGCCGCCGCGGAGCGGGAGTGCGAGGTGGAGAGTCGAGTTGGGGCCGATGGCGTAATCAGCCAAGGTGGTGTCGGATGAGGAAAGGTGCTTGCCGGCGTGGACAATGCGCAGATCCGAGGGCGTGGAGAGGTTGGTTCGGAGAGCGAGGAGGGAGCGCAGGGTGCTTATCGATGTGTTTGAGGGGATTGTGAGGGGGATTGCTGATGCACCATGTTAGCCGTGTCTGCTGTGACTTCATAATGCGACCTGTTCCGAGCGTCGGAACCGTGGCGGGAACGACTTACTGCTGCTGCCGGATACCGTCTTGACGAAGATCTGCATCGTGTCCTCGGATTCGGAGCTGGACGAGCTGATGCTGCTGATGCTGGATGAACGGCGCATAGTGGCAGTTGCGGAGAGGCAAGTACGGGTAGATGTCGTGTGCGTGTGCGGGTGCGGAGAGCGTGTGAGATGACGCTGATGTGGTCGGCGAGTTGTGGCGGCGAATTGACCGGCTAGATAACGGAGATGGTTGAGCGGGTAGATGCAGATAGGAGATGTTATATACAAGCAGGAGGGTGAAAGTAGGGCGAGTGCTATGACGGAGAGTGAGTGGGTGGGGGGCAGTAGCAGCAGTAGCAGCAGTAGCAGTAGCAGTAGCAGTAGCAGTAGCAGTAGCAGTAGCAGTAGCAGTAGCAGTAGCAGTAGCAGTAGCAGTAGCAGTAGCAGTAGCAGTAGCAGTAGTGACAGATGGGGATCAAGTAGGTAAAGGAGACGCAGACCGCTTCTTAAACAAAGGCAAATGGAGCCCCATGCTGTCACTGGTGCCTTGGTCCGACCGATGGCACTGCATTGCGCTGCGCGCTGCACTGCACACGACTCGAGCCGACATGCGTTCGCAGCGCGTCCTTTGCCTCCCCGATGCAGGGCGGCTACCACTAGCCGACCTTCTTCCATGGTATTCTATGCCTTGCATCAGCACCAAAGCTAGCCTGGAGCCCTTCAAAACACGCCTCTCATCATCATCGCCAGCCATGAGGCAAGTCTGACAAAGTGTCCAAGACGCTCATGCATGTACTTCCACATCATCCCTCGCCCGACTTGCCTCTTGCATGTGACACGTATCGGCGACATGCCTCACCCACTCCTGTATGGTACTTGTGACATGCAATCTAGATCGTGTCTCATGCACCCTGCATACCAGGAACTCGCTTGTTGCCGCCTCAAGGCGTCTAACACGCCGACGACAGCAGACAGCAGCGCCTGCCACTGTATTGTGTCGGATGAGGCGCATCGCTCGGCCTGCGCCAGTGTTTGCGATTCGTGGCGCGTGCATGCCGGCTATGCGCTGTGTGAGGCTGGACGACTATCGTCATAAAACAGAGCCATCGTCATCCTTGGTGTTGACCATCGCCCTGCCGCTTCCATTCGACATGCTTCGTTCTGACATATGCACAAGGCCTAATGCTCCGAGTCGATGCGGACATGCCGTTGATCATGTCGAGTCACGCTACCATCCGCCCATCGTGTCGTCTGTGCGACGACCGCTTGGATCCGTGTGCGGTCGGCACATTTGGTACTCGAGACACGTCCATTGCTCTGTACGCCTACATGGTCAAACATCTTCCAAACATGGCCTTTCCCCACACGCGCTTTCACGCACACACACACATACATACTTTATATCCGTCCTGTCACATTGCCATTGCTTCTAGAAGCGTTTCATCGTCTCCCGGACCGCTTTGGGGCCCAAACAAATATGTTTATTACTACGCTACTATCATACACCGCTGCTAACCCAAGTTTACAACATGCTCTTTGGGAAGTCCTTCATTGCCTGTCTTACACCCAAATCGCCCAAAATCTCCTCGGTACCCCCAAGGATAGCATCGAACTTGTAGGTGCGGTGGAATTGTTCAATGACTCGACCCATTCCACCCTGGGTGATTCCGCGACCTCCGAAGATGTTGACGGCTTCATCTGCAATCTCGTGTGCAGAACGAGTAGCATACGACTTGAGTAGACCGATGGGTCCGCCAAGATGTTTTGATTGTTGCGCGTACGACATGTGCGTCATTTGGTAGGCGATGGATTCTAGCCATGCTTGGTTGGCTTCGACGTGTGAGATCATCTTTGCAAGCCTGGATAGTGTAAGTACGGGCAAGGTAGTGTGAAACCATCGTCAGAGGCAATACTCACTTTTGACGGATGGCAGGTTGCTCTATGAGCTTCTTGCCAAAAACAATTCGCTGGTTAGACCACTTCAAGCACTCCTCTACAACGGTGCGAGACTGTCGGATAACAGCGCAAGCCATCATGAAGCGCTGCAGAGGTAAAAATACAAAGTTAGTCCATGTCTCACAGACACTTTGTAGGGTCTGTGCTTACCTCGTGGTTAAAGTTGCTCATGATAACAACAAAGCCCTTGTGCTCTTCACCCAGAAGATGGTCTACCGGTACCTTGGCATCGTTGAACTCGACGAATGCGGTACCTGCCGTTGTGGAGTAGCTCGTCTTGATGAGCTTGGTCTCTACGGCCTCATCGCGTTCGATGAGTAGGACAGAGAAGCCCTTTTCCGTCTTGCAACCTGTAACGAAATAGTCGCAGAACATTCCGTTGGTGATCCACTTTTTGGTGCCTCGTACAATGTAATGCTTGCCGTCTGGGGTCAGAGTCGCAGTGGTCCTAATTCCAGCGACATCAGATCCAGCAAAAGCCTCGGTGATGGCTAGGCACATCTTCTTCTTGCCAGTCAACACCTCGTTTACCACGCGCGTCTTCAGCTCAGATTCAGGCATCCACTGCAAGACGGCTGTCAAGCTGATGGTCATACCAGCCATGTTGCCGTCTTGGAATCCACGAGCGTTTGCGCGCACACCTTCCTGTGCCTGGATAAGGTCATGGAGGTAGTCAAATTCCTCGCCCTTGACAACACCCATCAGGTTCTTGCCGTGGAGATGCTTTCCAGGCCCAAGACGCATGGCCAGCATGTCGTTCTCAGCCATCTTGTTGATCAACTCTTGGCTGATATATGTACCATCCTTCTCCTTTTGTTGTGCCTCGGGTGTGACGTGTGTGTCGACAAACTTGCGGACCTCCTTTTGCAGTGCTCGGTGCGATTCCTTGAAGTAAGGGCTCTTGAACTGCGGTCGCAACCACAACGGCTCTGCGTATGGTACTGGGCTCAGATCGCCAGGCTTTCCGACGATGACTTCTGATTTCTCGCCCTCGATTGTGCCGATGCATAGCTCCTGGTACTTGTCCAAAACTTCTTGTCTGTGTAGATTGTAGAAAGCCGTCGTCGCATCTTGACCAGCTACCTGCTCGAGCACGACGGAGCCGCCAGGGTGGGCGTCGACGAAATCGCTGAGATCGTAGACTTTGTGGTCGATGATGCACCAGAGGTCCTCTGGTGTGTTGTGCGAAGCGACTGACTCGCGTGTGAGCGTGGCGTGAGGCATGTTGGCGGTAGTAGAAAGGGATACGACGGTTGGGCGAGGAAGGAGCGATGTGATGCACGGCAGAGAGGACGACTGGAGGAGTTTAGGATGAAAGGAGAACCGGCTACCAACACTGCACTACAATATGCGGGTCTCTAGACGTTTGGCCTCGGTCTACAACATGAGCTAGCCGTCTCCGCGTAGCACTCCGTCTTGTGTGGAGCTGGCGCAGAGAACATCTGGGGAAGATGCCGAGGCACGAGAGGTAATCATGTCTCCAACACCGCTGATTGGCTGTACGATACCCACGGCTTTCCAACGGCAACCACGAATTCTGATTTCTTCATGGCAAAGTCCTTGCTCCATTATTCGGCAAGTCATCTACAAACTTCTGCACATTGTCTCTAAGACAGTTCATTCTACAACATCCCCCTTGATCGGATCTAGCATTGTAACCGTCTCACCCTCGCGGCAACCTGCGCTGCGCATCAGTGGCCCATGATGTGTCGTCAGTATGGCTCGAAGTAATTGTATTCTTTTCTTTGTTCTAATCTCTCGCCTCGCCTTTTGCATTCGAGTTCATCCCACGCCGAAAATCACGTTATCGAAAGAAGACATAGGTGGTGAGACGCAGCCATTTTGCTTCGAGAGAACTTTGATAAGCTATTGTGTCCGATCTAGCAAAAAGATGGCATGGAAGACAAGAAGAGCTAGGGTGACAGCAAGATCAGAAAACCACCTGTTCCTGCTAATCTCTCGAGTAACATTGTAGGATTGCCAGCAGTAAAACTATTCGTGGCAGGTGTTACGCAGCGACCAAGCCGACTAAGTTCCCTTCGGTAGACCTTCAAGAACAATCGTCCTGTTGTTCGCAGCGGAAGGTCGCACGAGCTTCAACAGACGTATGTTATCTCTACTATTCAGGAATACTTAAAAAAAAAAAAAAAGAGAATGGAGAGTGTCTTGTTCTGTAGCGCCAAAGTCACCTGTCAAAATCCGAGAAGGAGCAGTCGATATAGCAAACAAGCCCCAATCCCGGTTACAGCTTTCATTTCCTACTTATATTCACCTGTTGTTCGCTCCGCATAATGTTATTACCTCAATAGGATTTCCCTTAGGAAGCGTGCCGGTGAAAGCAAGCCAATCATGCCGTGCCCCTCACTCTCATCTTTTCGAAGTGAAAAATGTTTGCCCCTCCATTCTACATCCCACTACACACCCCGCCATGCCCCTCGTTGCCTCGATAAGAGCGCTTGCTCTTCTGCCCCTCCAATAGTGCCGTAATCGACAACGTGTTGCTCAACTTTCCGGATCCAGTAACCTCCCGTAACGCTGCCAATGCTGTGCGGGTGAAGGTTGAACTTCCGCCAGTTTCTCAACACATGCGCACAAATACACTCTCAGAGTTGACTAAATTAGTTTCGCACGGCAGTAAAGAAGTATTTGTATACAAGGCTTTCTTAATCGATCCGTATGTGCGTCAAAGAGGCACGCATATCGCTTCTCGCATCATGGTGAGAGGTGTGATATTTGGGTATCTCTGAGATCTATATCGCAAACAAAAAATGTCTACATGTCTATTTTAAACCTTGAATATCGTCTTGACGTCTTCGTCGAATCTTATAGTCATATGCACAATCTCTGTCGCTCGTGTACGCCTTAACAACCCTCCAGCTTCGCCAACGCCTTCCTCAACTCATCTTCTCTCTTCCCCAAAACAGGCAAACCTCTATCCACACAAGCCCTCTGAAGCTCCTCCTTCCCAAGACCTGCCCATCCGCCATCTCTATTAATCAACCTATCGTCCGTGTTCAAGTACTCCAACTTCTTCCTAACATTGCGCTGTAAGAGGAACTTGGGTGCTGTCAGAGGTAGCAAGTCAAATATTGCGGGATAGCAGTCGAGTTGTGCGGCGGTAAGCGAGAGCTCGTAGAGCGTCATCTCGTTCCATTTCTTCGTGGTGACTGGCATGAGCAGTCCATTATTCGGTGGGGATACGGATGGCGCGTCAGAAGATGCGGTGCCAATAGGCGGGCGATCCCTGCTCATCAGTCGCATTGCATCTAGAGCGACCCTTCTTAACCGGTCTTGCCGCTTGTCCTCAAGTTTCCGTATCGCGCGTTGAACCTGCTGTGGTATTCTGCACGCCTCTGGAATTACAGGCGTAATGTACATGACGACAATCGGTAACCACTCTCCAAGTAACAAGACCAAAAGACCGAACGCCGGTAACCTCAACGTGTCCGATCTGCTTCTCCGCACAATCTGCCATTCCGCTCTTGTCAGAACCTCGCTTATGTCTTTGTTGGGTATTTGAGCAGCCTTTTGGCGCAGTGTCTTGGCGAATTTTGATGTTTGTCGGACATGTGAGATGCCCGTTTTATAGAAGGTGAGATATGCGCGACCGGCGCGGTATAGCCACTTGACAAAGTTCTGGTCTGGTTTTCGTACGGGAACGGATATTTCGGGGGCATAGGTAAAAGGCGGTGGGTTCAACTTCTCCTTCGCTCGCAGTGTTGGGACGGTTGTGGCCTTCGGAGTGGGAGTCTGCGCGGGAACGAGGGGGGAAGATTGAGATTTCCTTGGAGGTTGCGAAGGATTTGTGACCTTAAGTGTGTTCGCATTTCTGGTTTTGGCAGGAGGTGGTGGCATGGCCCCGCCATACTCTGCCTTCTTTGCCGGCGACGCTGAAGATGAGGCATGCCGGCTCATCTGTGTCTCCCACCTCTTTTTCTGCCTCCCCCATTGTATGACACTCCGGGACCCATCATGCCATATCTGACAGCTCAATGCAGGCATTGTGGCCCGGGTGTGTATGCTTCGACGGCATTTCAGGTTTGCGAAGACAGTGTGAGATCGCGCTGGTATAGGAAACGTGAGAAACATTGGTCGTGGTTTCATTGTCGTGTGAAAAGCATGCACGCACTGGCAATACAGCAATACAGCAACAGAGCAAACGTTGGCTGACGGCTACTAGTGGTGACGTTTCTCATTCGTAGGGCAAGAAAAAACTGGGTCTAATCGTGCCGCGGGAGACACGCGCGATGTCATCACACCTCGCGTCAGCGCTAACTCGACTTGGTCAACCAATGATTGTTGTAATAGATGCGTGACACAAGCTTGCTAATGCACTGGAGTTGTGCAGCTTTATTTGAGTGTTTGGTAATATCCCCCGTCTATGCCGTAATTGACACTACACCATCTCGTTAACCCATTGCTTGCGCCTTGCTGATGCCAATATATACAAGAACGCGAAAGCGTTGCAAAACGCCAATTTGTCTCTAAGGGCTTGAAAGAGACTCCAAGCACATATGCATGGCATGATATTGTGCGCCCATGAACACCTCGCAGAACGCTATATCAGATCAAATCAAAATAGGAAGCTACCATACACAGGAACTAAGGAAATTCGTAGAAGATACAAAGACCCGAACGTTACAGGACAGATGATGTGAAAGTAAGTAGAGCAAAACCTTGAATAGAAGGGGACAATGTGGTAGGGCCTCATCCAGAATTTACAACGCATGTTGATCCGGAAGGTAAGTCGTCGCCAGGGATTGTTTGAGTCGCGTGGGTTATGATGAGGTCGCCAGGAAATTGTCGCAAGGGTATTCCATAAGGTTGCTGCGCGGAACAAGGATGCGGGGACCTTCGGGGTTCACCATTCAGGGCCAGGTGAATAGCATGGGTCCAACGGTTTACTGTGTTTTCGATGAGCTGGTTCGTGGGAGATACATGGCTACTTTTCAGGGGGATTTGGATGGATGGGCGCAGTCGGGTTTGGTTGGTTGGGATATACAACATGTCGATACATGTGCGGATGGAGTGGCATACAGGATATGGGTTATTGTAGCAATGTCGGGTTTATCTGGTGGTAACCTCCGAGACAGCCGTGCTTGATATCTAGGATTTTGGCTGTACGGAAATAGTTTACTCAGCGTTGATACTGAGCGAGCTGGGCCATGATTTCAGACATGTCTGGTGTGGGGCCAGCTTGAGTAGGTGTCTGTACTGGTGGAGCGGCGGCCTGGCTCTGGTTTGCGAATAGAGAAGCAAGTGCGGGGAACTGATTGCCCAGCTGCGCAAGATGTGGCTGAGCTGGGCCACTGAAACCAGGAGTCTGAACAGGACTAGGCACCTGGGCAAGCAGGCGTGCAAGATCGGCATTTAAGCCTTGATTCGGCGCGGGTTGCGAGTTTTGGGGTATGTTGTTGCCGGACATCGCACCGAGCAGCTGCGACAAGCTAGCACCGTCGAGGGATGCTATGAGATTAGAGATGTTGGGCTGGGTGGTTGGCAGAGACGGGAAGGGGTTATTCGGTTGAGGGAAGTGCGGTGGCAGAGTTTGACCGAAGCCGTACGAGGATGATGGCGGCAGAACCGGTCGCAGCTGGGTTTGTTTGGCATTGTTGACGAGAAGACCAGCCGTCGTGGGGTCAAGATCGGCGTATTCTAGGAACACGAGTCAGTAGTCACTCACATAAGGCATAGGCAATCATACCGTTGAACTGGACATTGTTGGCACCGCCACGTCGGTCGAAAATCTGGACGCTGACCTTACCTTTGGTCAGGCCAGTAGTATCGAGCCTCACAATAGCTAGGACTCCTTCGAGGATTTGTCTGCGAACTACAGCTGGTTCAGGGAATCGACCACTCAGTATCAGGACGTTACTGCGTAAGTTTTGCGAGCGGAAAGTATCCTCGACGTAGCGAATGAAGTCACTACAACTGTGTTAGCGCCTGCTCTCACGCAACGGATATTGAACATCAACCTACCGTGGAAGTCCCTCATTGAGCACAAGAATCTGGATATCAGGTACCTCGTGGGGCAATCGGCGTCGAAGATCCAATCCATCTTCTGTATAGTCGCGACGCGGAGATGGGCTTCTGTGTCTGCGTGGTGGTGTCCTGGACCTGCTACGATATCGCGCATCGAATCTGTCGCGGCTTCTATCTCGTGATCGTATGCCCCGAGGAGGAGCCCGTGGCGATGGCGATCGCATAGGTCGGTAATCATCCCGATCGCGAAAGCGTCGATCCCTCGGGGACATGGAGTTTGGATGCCCTACATAGCGATTATCCCTGGGCGCCGGTCCCGTCCCGCCCCTAGTATAATCCGGGGAACGCGAGCGTCGACGCGGTGTCGGATTCGGTGGTTCTAGCTTTTTCGTGTTTCGCTGGGGCTTGGATATCTCGAGGTCTGTTCTCGTCAGTCAACTGTTACCTGGTCGTGTATTGAGGTGACTTGACATACGCATCTTCCTGCCACGCACTGCCTGTCCCTGTTCGGCATCCAGAGCCCTGCGACATGACTCCGAGTCAAGGAATTGAACGAAGCCATATGCCTGCTTGATCGATATCTGCGCGAGCCTGCCGTGGCGGTAGAAACGGTGAAAGATGTCGCGCTTGGTGACTTTTTCAGTGGGGAGGTTTCCTAAGAAAAGGTTAGGCGCATCCTTGGTGCCAAAACAATCCCATCTCACCAATGAAGAGACGCGAGCCCATGGGGAATTGGTCCCATTGCCCCTCCGTTACAAACTTCCTCTCTTGATCCAAAAATTCTTCATATCTTCTATTCACCTCGGGCGGCCACCTCTGGTCCTCATCGTCGGGCGTTTCGCTGCGTTCGCCCGGCTGGTGCTGAGCATGGGCAGACGTTGTAGAGAAGTCCTGATTCTGCACATTCATTGGCTGAAAAGAGCCATTTCCTCTCTGCTGGGCATTGGGTGCTTGCTGACTCTGTGGATGATAGGATCTGATATCATCGTTGGGGTCATAGTTAGGGTGCGTAGCGGGCTTATCTTGGGTAGGCGGCCTCGCAGGGAGATTGGTGGCCGAGGGCAAGGACGAGGCATGGTGTTGTGTCTGCGGTGACTGGGCGGACACTTGTGCAGAAGCATATTGAGTCGAGGGCGCATTGTTGGCAGCAGGTGTCAGAGAATCCAACAGGGCTTGTACGTCAATATTGGAGCCAGTATGCGCTCCAGTCTGGTAGTGAGCGCCTTGGGTAGACTGGGCGGGCGCATGCTGAGCAGCATAGGCATTGTCATGGGAGTATGGGTACGCAGAGTGAAGACCTTGACCAGACGCGTGCTGCGCGTCACTGGCCGAAGCAGCGCGCGACTGATGCTGTGAGGTGAAATTCTGCATTGAAGAGGTATCATGCGGCTGCGTACCCATGCTGCCACCAAAACCAGTCGACTGCGAGAAAGCACCCGGCGCATCATGTCCTCCACCCTGTACGCCTATAGTGTGGAAGTTGGCGGTCGCGGACTGGTCGGCGAAGTACGGCGTGGACGTGTTCGCGTTCGCGCTGGAGCTGTGCGCCTGCTGGGGGAAATGGGGAGCGGAAGGAGCTGCAGAGTCGGTGTTGCTGAGTGAGACATCATTATAGTTTGCATCCATGTGCTCTACAAGGATGGGAATGTTGGCGGGCGACGGGACGTTTTGCGGACGCGGGCTCTCCGGCGTCAGTGACTGGTGCCGTACGTGCTCAGCTTCTTGCGGTGGACTGGAGTTGGGTCTCATGTAGACTGCGGAGCCAGAGCGCAGAGCTGGCAGACAAGGCGTGGGTGAAGGGGAAGTCAACTCAAAGCATCTACGGAACGCACCGTCGCGACAAGGGCTGGAGAGCTGCAGCAGATTGAGCACTAGAAGAAGAAGCCGATGGCGGGGCTGGCTAGGTGCTATATGATGGTCGAGGTTAGATGGATGGGATGGCAGACGCGCGAAAGCCACAGGCACGGAAGCGAGAAGCGGGTCCCGTAAAAGTGGCAAGAGATGTTGGGTGCAGTCAGGCAAGGTGCAAGAGGGAATGTGGTGCAGCAGATGTTGGGACACGGCGCCGTGTCGACTCCGAGGATAGCCTGGAATCTCGAACTTCTCTGGTTAAGCTTTGCCCACGTGATGTGCTTTAGTGCCCTTCTAGCGTCCGTTATGTGGTTAAAATGGTCTTTCTGACCCTAGCCTGTGCACATGCCCGTTATAACATGATCTCATCTTGACAAAGTCCAACCCCCCCGAGCAATTTGCGCGACCGGTGATGCTGCCTCGACGTCTTGTCTTCCATTCGCTTGTCCCGTTTCAGTCCCGAAGAAGTGCCAGCAGTGCCGCTGGCGACGAGCTTCGCGCTGCGCGCAACTGGCTCGCGAGCCTGGATGCAGAGACGATCCCTCTACAGTGCATTGGCGAACTGAGCTTCAGCAGATCATCAGGCCCCGGTGGCCAGAACGTCAACAAGTATGACACACTACAACAAATTTCCAAACGTGCGCGCTATACTAAAAATGTGCACAAAGAGTCAATTCAAAAGCTACATTAAAGGTGCCTCTAGACGCCCTGCTGCACCATGTCCCTGCAGCTTTGCATGGCGAGATTAGACGTTCCCGCTACGTAGCTGCTAGGTCAAATACTATAATAGTGCAGGCCGACGACAGTCGAAAGCAAAGCGACAATGCTCAAAGTTGCTACAAGCGCTTATACGAAGCCATTGCTCAGGCTGGACAAGATGCTGTCCCCGCCGAGACGCCAGCAGCAAAGGTGCAGCGTGTCAAACAACTGTATGTTTTCGTCCATTGCGACGGCCCTAGCGACGGCCCGAAAGCTGATAACACATCAGACAAAAGTCTGATAACGAGCGCCGCCTCAAGAGCAAGAAGCAGCAAAGCGCTAAGAAGACGTCGCGGCGAGGCCGGGGTGATGAGTGAAGCGGTCTGCGGGGAAGCGGCTTGCCACAGCATCATTGATCAGCTTGACGCGCAGGTGACGTGGTTCAACCGTTAAACGGTAGCACGTCTCACGATAGTGCGAGTGTGGCCGTAGCGGTGTAGCTTATGGTGTTCGATCCGATAAGAGATAGGAAGAATACTTCATGCAGGGAGTGCTCGGTACAATTAGTGTCTGCTGACCAAGGTCTCTTGATCCTTCACGTTTCCATCGCCGACGACAAATTCTGGAGCGCTTCATTTGCAGGCCAGTACTTGACGCCCGTCTGCACCAACAACTCCGAATCGTCTCTCTTTCCCTGCTGTCGTAGCGATTCGGCCAGTCTAGCAACCTTATCGCCTTCACCATCTTCCATGGCCCGTACATACTTGCGTAGTGCTGCTCGCGATGCCTTCTGCAACGACGAATCGCTATCCGCAAGTAACCGGTGCAGAGATAACAGCCGTCGAACAGCGACTTCGGACACCCTGACAGTTTCCGTGGGATGTTGCTGAATGGCGGAGCTTATCAAATCCAAGGCCCTGCTTAATGCAAGGGCGATCTCTGGGTCGGTAGGATCGCAGCCAAACAGCATCATGCGGAACCTGCAGATAACGGTCTCCACGGCTTGTGGAAAGTTATCTTGCAGGTAATCTAGCACATGCTGCAAGATGCGTGGTATGCAGGCTAGCTGACTAAACTCGGCAAACATGTCGAAGAAGCTGTCGGCGAGTTTAGCCTTGCCCTGGAACTGCTTCATGGCGGAATCGAAGACTGCCAGTGGGATAGCGCCAGTGAGTACTGGTGCAGAGGCCAAGTTCTGCAGAGCTACCTCATCCACACCATCATCCTGCTTCAAGCTGGGATTCACATCCTCGGCGGTCACCTCGGGGAGCGCAATCATGTCTTCGTCCCCGTCCTCATCTGTGCGCGACTTGCTTGTGCGATCGATGTCCAAACCGAGAATCTTCCTCCGACCAGCGATCTTGCCAACGTATATAGTCTCGAGCTTCGCGTATTCCAGCCACATGACCTCGGAGTTCTTGCAGAAGCGCAGCCCTCGCTGCATATAGCTCCGCGCATTGGTAATGTCCGCCTGTGTATCCATGAAGTAATTCGCCGCAAGGATCCATATGTCAGGCTTGGTAGGGTGGAGTCGAGCGACCGAGGTGAAGATGTCGTTCAGTCTCTTGTATGCCTTGTCCTTGCGCGCAAAGTCGATGTATTGCATCCATAGCACCAGGTCGCCCGGAAACTTGCGCGTTGCCCGATTGTAGAGAAAGTAGATTGCCCGCTGACCAGAGCCCTTGTACCGTACACCAAGTCGCTTTACTCGTTTGCGGCGCAGAGCATCGACACTCTTTTCGAATTCGATGTATCGCATGTAGTCCTCAGGGTGCGAGCCTCTGGCATTGATGATGTGTTCGAAGTCGGAGCGTTTCTTCGCTATGGAGCCGATCTCTTCCTACATGTTGTTAGAAGACATGGCGTAGCGCGAAGATGTGCGCATCTTACCCGTGAGAAGATTTTTTTGCGCTCAAGCTCGTTCAGCTCCGTCGCCGACTGCTCGAGGTAGAAACGCGCCTTGTCACTCGGTCCAGCCATGTTTGCGCGTGTCCAGTGTTGCTGGCAAAGTTGAGATCAGAAAAGTTGACCGTGCCTTAGAAAAAAGTTAGGCTAACGCTGCTCCCGCCGATAGCGCCTTGGCTGCGGACCTCGGAAGCGCGAACCCTGGCCATGACAACTTCAGGAGGCTCGCGTGTCTGACGACTGCGAATCATCAATTCACGACGCTCTTTTGCTTCTTTCTTCTCTTCCAATGCTCGAGCGTCGCTGAGAGGCTACCTGCATCTTTTACAATGGTCAAAGACAAGGACGGCGACACCGTCGCTACGGTACGCGCGGGCAGACTTCACCCCCGAGAGCTCCGCATGCTCACAAGACGTAGTTCAATGGAAAATGGATATCATATTCGCATACCGCCATGGCCTACTGTATGTCCATGCAAGACCCCTGTGATTGGCTGTACTGACGACAAGCACAGGTGCCTTTGTCGGCGCCCTCGTAGTTGGAATGTACGCACTTGACTCTCTGCTACCCCACGACGCGACTGAACATCCACAGATGGCTACACTACCACAAGATCGTACAGAACGAGTTCTACGTTAGTTGCATGCTGCATGTCAGGCTTCAACTATACTGACAACATACCCAGGGCTACCCAGATGAATGGTTCCCATCCGTGTCCGCGACTATCGGCGACCGCTACCCAGAGCGTTCGGTGTTTATGCTCTTCATCGCCCTCACATCCGGTATGGAACAAGACCCGACACATGGACGACTATACTGACATGTGTAGGCCCTCGATTTGCGCTCGTTGGCCTTTGGTACATCTTGACCCGCCGTCCTAACTCGTCCCTCCCCAAGTTCATCGCTGGCGTTGGCATCTTTCGGACCTTAACATGTGGGGGGTGGACATATGTGACCTCTACAGACGACCACGACTGGCACGACATTTTCATGATCTCATACCTTGTCGCGACCCTTCCTTGGACCTTGGGCTGTGTTGCTCTCAGCCCCAAGAACCCCACTGCTCTCAAGTACCGAAAAGTCCTCGCTGGCAGCTTTTTCGGAACTCTTGTGCCGTTGATATACTTTTTCATTCAACACAAGGTACATCGTGTTGCCGGAGGTATGTCATCTCACTGTACTGTCAATTCCTTGTTAATATGTTTCTAGCCTACACTATTTACGCTTTCTTCGAATGGGCACTGGTTCTGCTCGACGTAGGCTTTGATGCTGTCACCATGATCGAATTCCAACATTTGGAGATTGTCGTCAAGGATGTTCGAGGTGTTTCCCGCCTGTACGTTCCTCGTCTCCCAATATAGATAGACACTCATCAAGAATGTATACTTCTTACGATCACCTTCTGACAATATACCTCTTGTAGTGCGGGCTCCAAATCTACATCAGACAGCATCCAAGAGTAAGCTGTCATTTGCTTTCGGAATGCGAAGCGTTACTAACGTTTCCAGAAAAAACAAGGAAATGAGCGCGACCTTCTCAGGTGCCTTTGCCTGGTCCGGACTCATTTATGCTGCGGCAGATGTGTACAATGGAGTAAGTGACATGTCAAGATGCTACTAGACGCAACTGACTGGTTCACAGTTTGTCTTCTGGTCCATGCTGACTTCCCTTGGCGTCTGCGTCTGGTGTAAGTTCAACTCCAGCTTCATGATTGTAATGTCTTTGTTGATGACCTGTAGACTTCCCGCTTTGGCACATGGGTATCTCTGGGTATGAGGCCTTGGTCATGTGCACCATCACTCCCTTCTTCCTTGGCATCAACCCCATACGCTACCTTGCCACTCGCTACGTCTGGTTCTTCCATTTGCTCTCACTCTCTGGGCTTCTTGCCTTTCTCGCAAAGACGCCTGTCAACCGACTCTTCGCTGTTGGTTTTGGTCTATCCATGTCGTGCCTCGCATGGTCTGCTACTTTCTTCGCCGAACGGTCCCAACCACATCGCCTCGAAGCACGCATCTCTGCTTTTGCTATCGGTCTAATAGCTTCCAGTATTGCCAAGTTTGCTTTTTGGACAAACAACCCAATCTGGCCAATTATGCATGAGGCGAACGGCGGATGGAACAGGACCGGTCTTGTAGTTGCCTTCGTATCGATGCTTATATCGACCAGATCTACCGCCAGCTCAGGTGCTGACGTGCCAGCTCAGGGCCCTACTAAAGGGTCGTCCGTCTTTGCGAGCTTCGGTTTGGCAGGAGTCATGTTCGCCATGCACTCGCTGCTCTCCGACTCGAGTACGATGATCTCTTGGGTATGGGAAGGCTACCCCGTTCGGGGTCCCCTGGCTGTTCCCCATGGCACTTTGACCTTGTTAGCTATGGGATTGGGTCTTACGGTTGGGTTGTTCGCGCCAAATCTGTCAAGATCGTGGGCCTTCTACGGCGTAGGTTCAATTGGCGCTGCCGTTCTGACTACCACTAGTCACTGGTCTGGGTTCTATGGCGCCCTTGTTCTTGCTATGTACACCATGGCAGCAGCACCTATCCTGATTGCCCACGCGGCGCGCCACTCTCCAGGCCGGACGTTCGGACTCGGATTCTTGGTGTACAACTTCATGGTTCTCTTCCACGTCTGGGTTGTAGCCTACGCGTTCGTTCCTGGTGGCCCGCTCGTCCGCGAACATACAGACTGGGTCATGACAGCTATGATGCTCCAAATCGGTGCCGGTATCTTCAGTGTCTCTGCGCAACCGCCTGCACTTACAAACTACAAGGGCAAAGCTGTCATTACTGCAGCCGCCGGTAGACAGCGGTCCTACTACTTGTACGTTCTCGGTGCTCTGGAGCTGATTGCCATCGCTACTGCCTACCTACGCTTCCCGTCATACGACTACACGCCCTACCACCCAGAAACCAAGTCCATCACTGCTGGTATCTGGACGATACATTTCTCCCTTGATAACGACATGTGGTCTTCTGAATACCGCATGCGTGACCTGATCAAAGAAATGGAAGTCGATGTCATAGGTCTCCTAGAAAGCGATCTCCAACGCATCATCATGGGCAACCGTGATACAACACAGTTCCTTGCCGAAGACCTAGGCATGTATGTCGATTTTGGTCCGGGCCCGAACAAGCATACATGGGGCTCAGCGCTCCTCTCCAAGTTCCCAATTGTAAACTCCACACACCATCTCCTCCCGTCGCCCGTTGGCGAACTCGCTCCTGCCATCGAAGCCACAATCGACGCCTACGGCGAGATGATCGATATTTTCGTCTTCCACTCGGGCCAGGAAGAGGACCCCGAGGATCGCCGCTTACAGTCAGAATATCTAGCCGAACGCATGAAGGCTACGCCTCGCCCTGCCATCCTCTTGTCGTACTTGGTCATCAAACCTGGCGAGGGCAACTACAATACTTATGTGGGTGAGAAGAGTGGAATGAAGGATATCGATCCGTCAGACTGGGATAGATGGTGCGAATACATTCTCTTCAAGGGGTTGAAAAGAAGTGGATATGCGCGTGTTTCCAGGCATACCATTACGGATACCGAGTTGCAGGTAAGTCAATCCCTCTCTTCCCGTCTGTCGTACCAGAACGATGTGGTGCTAATGATGTTGATGCAGGTGGGCAAATTCGTCGTCGGCGAGCCGGAGAATGGAAACGAGCTTGTACATGAATCGCAGGTTCCTGCTGGCTTGAGATTCCCGGAACTGTTCAAGGGACACGGTGTCAGGGGACATAGGTATCACGTCTTCAATGAGCCCAGATACTATGCTTGAGCTGGAGGCATGGGCTGAACAGATTGGGAGTATCTGAAAATGGGGTTATTTAGAATAGACTTGTACTGTATGATAACAAGGAACGGAAAAATACAGTTGTGGTGTTGTTTCATCGTCCATGTGAATTCTTGGATACTACTTGTTGTCCACTACCGATACAGCGCTTCATGTGCTGCTGCCCAGGAATACAGATGGCTCTACAAGAGCCATAACAGGACGCCCATACCCATGCATGCATTGCGCAAGTCTTTGCCACGCCCAATTCGTAAAACCCCAAATGCCGAACCCATACTTTTCGATCATTCCTTCATCCCTTTCATGATCGTCATCATCTCCCCGATTGTAACCTCCCCAGAAGCTGTTGGCTCTCCCTCCCATTGTAAAAACACAAATGCATTGGACACAACATGCGTCACGCTCATTTCGCAACAGCCGCGCTAAGAACCTGTGTCCTGAAGAAGCCTCCCTTTGTCCTCTCGATGACTTGCTGGTAGACGGACTGTGGTGGGTGGTTCATGACGACCGTGCCGGCCTGGTAATCGATCTTTGCATCTACACGAGTGTCCCGGATAAGGTTGACAATCCACTTCTCACCCTCGTCTTGTGAAAGACCGAGACGAGTCGAGAGGTCCCTAATTATGTATTAGTGTAATGCTAAGGGTGGAGAAATGGCCAATACTCACTTGATGTCGATCCTCTGGTGGATCTTGCAGTAGCTCTCTGAGATGAGATGTCTCGCCGCATCTACGAACTGTTCCGCCGCACCCAACAAGAAGAAATCGTTCTTCAGAATCTCCTCAGTCTCGCTGAGTTTCTTCTGCGCCTCCTCGAAGTCAAAGTCGATGTACAGGGCCTTGATGAAGTCGGTGACGGGGTCACTGTATTCGTAACCCTCCTGTCGTACAATCCTGATCAAATCCTTGAGCTGCTTCTGGTACTGGTTCGAGTTGCGGCCACGGTTGCGGCCGGTAATTACGGCAGCAGAGAGATAACGCAGAATCCAGGGGCAGTTTGTCTGGATGGTGTTGATGTATGCGGGGGAAAAGAACATGTCGGTGAGGGTTTCGCGCGAGGCTTCGTGGTTGAAGAGGGGGAAAAGCGACCAGTGGATCAACCAGGTGCGGTGCTGCAGCTGTGCGAGAGGGTTGTTGAAGAGGCGTGTGTCGATGATCTCCTTGAGCTTGTTGATCTCCTCCATGGCCGAGTCCCAGTTTACGGAGAGGATTTCGCAGGCGAGCTTGCCCCAGGTGGCTTCGCGCTCCTTGTCGCCGTCTGTGGTCTGTAATGAGACGGAGTCAGTAAGCAAACCAACTACAAGCGCGCGTTGGGCAGACGTACCAGAACCCTGAATCGGTAGAGCAGCTCAGCGGCGTGGGGGTATACACCGCACGAGTACTGGAACTGGCCAAACTCGAGCAACTGGTTGACCATGTCCATGTCAACACCATGGCTCTCCTTCAGGTATGCCAAGTTTTGCTGCTTGTCACTCCTCAGGTTTGTGACGACGTTCTCGTCGTCGAGCAGGCCGCTGATCTTGCTGGTCGCCTCGTCGAGCTGGTCGCGCTTCTTCAGGACCTCGTCGCGCTTGGTCTTGAACTCGTCGGACATGTCGTCGAGGCCGTGGACTTCCTGGTGCAGCTGTCCAACGAAATCCGTCATGTTGGTGGGCTTGAGGAGTTCGAGGAGGAGCTTCTTCTGCTCGACGGTCTGGTCGGCTTCTTCATCGCTGGAGAAGTTGAGGAGCGGGTAGACGAGATGACGGTCGAGGTTGGGCATAAGCTTGGGGAGGAGCGAGTACTGTTCGGCGACGTTGGCGCCATTTGCCGCTGAGTCGGCCATGTTGGGTGGATGTCGCAGGTGTGTGGGTGCAACGTGGTGGGTGAGGTTGGTGGAGCGGGCGAGGCGCGAAATTCGTTATGTCGGCCGTGGCGGGGTGAAAAAACCCGCGACTGTGCGCAAGCGAGGTACCCTGTACGCTAAACTTGTGGTGTTGAGCCGCGAGCCATGGCAGCAGCCTGCACGTCACAACCAGGCTATTCGCTTCGTCTTCGCTGTCGCTGTGCTTGAACTGCTCCTTGCTGGAACAGCATGCCCCGATTCCAATCTCTGGTGCCGCTGCTGCGGCCATTGGCTGCCCCAAGAGCAGTCGCATGCCGACAGCACTTCCGCTTCTACACGGCCTCTTCCGAACACCCATCCACGCCCCAGGAAGCCCAGCGAGCCGCCGACCTCGCTGCCGCCGAGTCGCTGACCGAAGGCGACAGCGCGCAGCCGCCCCAACAGAAGCCCGTACTGCCCTCGAAGCATCCACGAGCCGACAACAAGCCAAGAAACAGCAAGAAGCCAAAGACATCGTCACAAGCACTGAACCTGTCTCTGCCACCGCCCAAGTACGCAGTCTCGAGATCAGTCAACAAGAATCTGCCCATCTACACCGACTACAAGCGAGGAGGCAACTTGCACTTGACAACGGTACGCAAGATCACAGGAGACGTATCAGCGCTGAGGGACGAGCTGAGAGTCTTCTTGAACAAGAAGAACGAGGACGTCAAGATCAACAGCGTAACACAACATGTTGTTGTCAAGGGCCATCATACTAGCGAGATTGCAGAATTCTTGAAGGCCCGGGGCATGTAAGTTCCCCAGGGAGAGACATGTTTCACGGAAGAAAATGGGGCGCAGAACAGAGCATGGAAACGAGCGCATCTCTGCTGTAGCAAAACTTGTATCATATGGGGAAGAGTGCAGACGATCAACCTTGGATACCATCAGGCGTCAAGAAGCGACGAATGGGCATATTGTACACCACCATGACGGGTAGCATTGACTTCATAAAGTAATTACCCGAATTTCATTACTATCATAAGAAGCTTCAATCTGTACCTCCACATTACTGGTACAAGGCCTCCAGATTTTTCAGATACTTCGTCCTACGTAACTGCATTTTTGAGCTTTCATCAGGTCTTGTGCTGCCGATAGTCGTACTTGAACACTTCTTAGAATGGACATACTAGTAAACTTAGCTAGAGACCGTAGAATGGTTATGCACTGGATGTCTTACCACAAACGCTGTCCTACTCTATCGGTGGACGGGGACAGACAATCCAGCACTTGTCGTCGTCACAGCGTTCATGACAGGGTGGAGGTAATGTACCGCGCTTCTGGGCCCCCTCTCCTTTGGCTGATGGAACGCAGCATGCATAGCACTGACCGAAGTAGCACTCCCAGCGACATTTGAGAGAGGACAATCCCATAACGGCGTCGGCATCGGCGGAGCCGACAGCCATTGTCGGAAGACAGACGGCCCAACACTGGCCAAACATGCATTCCCAGTGGCACTTGAGCCCACGGTTGGCAACGTCAGCCTTCCCAACGTCCATGTTCTTATCCTCATTCTCATCAACATCACAGATCATGCCGCAGAGCGATTCGTCCGTACTACACACCTCGCGACAGACCTTGGTTGGGATGTCCGGAATTTCCTCGATGCTGATTTCGCTCCCAGCTACAGCTTGAAGAACCGGATCGGTCCAGCATATACCAGAGGTCCAGTCACAATGGTAGAGGAAAGGCCTCTTTAGTTGAGCGTGGCTCGAAGAGACAGAGATGGTGGTGTTGGTTTTCATGTCGGCTTCGTCGATGACGAGCGCGCTATTGGCCCTGAGAGCTGCAACGGCATCGTCGCCGATACACTGGCGCGTGCAGTATGTATGAATACAGACCCAGAAGCACTGTTTTGCTTCCTCGCGCTTCACTACTGGAGCCATAGAAGTCGAAGAGCTCTCGGCAACGACACTGCCGGCAGTAGCAGAGTCGGAGCCATTGAGTTGCTGGTTAGCGCGGCAACTACTACGGCATCGATAGCACTGCGGGATTGTCAGTTCATGTTCCGGTATACTCTAGGTTCAACATCCACACACAAGGGTGGTACATCGTTAAATAAATGAACTTACATCGGGATCTTTGCATCGCAATTGGAAGCATTGGTCCTCAGTGAGGCCGATTTCCTTACAGAACAGGTTGATGTATACACAGCGATAGCAGTTGACCTCAGTTGACACGTCGTTGGGGACATCGTCCGAGGTACTGGCTGGGATAGCGATTGAGACGTCGCCAGGGATAGTGGTCGGGACCGAGACATCCCCAGTAGTGGGAATTGCAATGGGTGAAGCCGTGGTCAAAGCGGCTAGCAGGAAGAGCGCGAGAATCTTGAAGAGCTGGAGCGGAGTCATCTTGATGGTTGTGTCGTGGTTGCTTTGTGTACGTCAAGGAAGGGTGGGGTGGGTGAACGAAGAAGATAGAAGTCGAAGGTGATAAGAGCAAGTACGGGCCGGAGCGGATCAAAGCAAACTGAGTGTACCCGATGACGGAGGAGGTGAGAGTCTGGCGGAAGCAGGAGCGTGTTTGCACTCGGTCCCGTACGCGAACGGCGGTCTAACACGGCGCGCAAGAAAATACTCCCTCGAGGTGGCACGCGAAAGTCGGAAGGCAGAAGTGAAAGTAAAAATGAAATATAAGAAAAATGATATGGAGAGGAAGACGTTGGACAGAACATACGTATACAATGGGCAGAGTATAATCGGTGGCAACATCCTTTGCACTTTGTTGCCATCCGATTGAAGCATCATCATCATCAGAGCCGTCGAGAGCTCACAAGAGCTCTTGCACAGGAGGTTTGCTTTGGATGCATAGTGCTTCATTGATGTTGGATGTTGTCATTGAATAGCTCCACAACGCTGCGACGTAGATATGGAAGTTGCGTGGGTGCCGACGGTACTAAACTTCCGTTGTTGGTTTTTATTGGCGATCAAGTGATCACATGCACACTGGCTGGTCCTTGGAAGTCTCGACCATGACACTGGTGCAAACAGCGATCTGTACGTGAACAATATAGTCTGACGTACGATCGGGGATTAAAATCGCATGGCGACCGTGTTTTCATGCTTATATCACACATGTTGGTGCCTGTACGAAGGAGAAATGCATACAAACCGACGCGAAAAAACTCGTCTGAGGCGCAAAAGTGCACACTTCAAGCTTTGCAAGCCTATATTCATGAATCACCGAGCGTCATAGCATCCATATCTCATTTACTAAAGTACATCTGCTCCCGAGCAGCTGTACCCCCTTCTATGGTTTTGATGGACCGACGTTGAATTTACATTTAGGCTATGATCAACCATACCTACTTGAGCTGGTCCGACACTCTGGATCCTTGTGATAATAGGCCCAGGAAGGAGTCCCCACTGGTAAGCCACAGGGTAGCACTTAGCGCGAGGCAGTGGTAGGACCGACTGTTCCGCGGAGCGCGCTCTCGCTGGACCAATCTCGCTCCCATTTATTTATCTTGCTCTGTCGCATGCCAGGTATCTTGAGACCCTTACGGATATGGCGTTCGCGTATCTGTCGATCGTGTAGGCCTGTCCAGTTGGTAGCTCAGAAATGCCATCATGGTCCATGCGGTTTCGCTAAACCCGATCTTGCAGAGACAATCCGATCCCACCGCACCCGTGTATTGTCGACTGCCGTGTGATCGATGCGCTGCATGAAGCCTTGCTTAGACATGCAGCTCGCTCCAAATCTCTAGTAATATATGGCCATTTTTAAATTCTTGAGTCAGCCACTGATGCAAGTAGTTTTTTGCGTTGATCTTGACTTTGGCTCACAGAAATGCTTTTTCAGAGAGATCCTGGGTTTGCCTTCTAGTGCTCGTCTTGGCCAAACGTGTCGGTACGAAACCGTTGGTGCGAAGTTGCCGCCATTCATAGGTCACGTCACGGATCATGGTCCGCTCATGAATAATTCCATGTCCGAAGGTAATAGTCGACGAAGCCTACCAGTATGACTCTTGCATAATGTGCCTTGTTGCACTGCATGCTAGTACCTTTTATGCTGCGAAGCACACCTTCAAACTCGAATTCGTGGTATAGATTGAACATTAGTGCTGCCAGTCCATTGTGGTATCGTACGCAAACCGGATTTCATGAATTCATGTAACCGAGATAAGCCACTCTCAAGACGTAGGTTGGCTGTGTCGTAGGGCATGCATATCGCTTTCTGATAACTGGCGACGGAAATTCTGACTACAAAATCCTAAAGCTTTTATGAGTATCGTTGAAACTAATTCGAGAAGCAACACGCGTAGGGATCGCACTACCAAAACTCGCGGGCTACACGTATACCTAGTAAGAACTCGTTGGGATATAACATTGGGTAAATTCGACAGGTCCCCAAGCTGGCCACACGGCGTTGCAACAGCAGATGTTCCACTTCATGCTTCGTGTGAAAATGATATCTCTATGAGTATCTTGGCTCCCAGGCTCTGTTTGTCGCGGCTCAGAAAAGTCTAGATACAAAGTAAATACACAGATCTTGGAAGGCGATCTTGAACACTCAACCATTCTGCGTCTCTGAAAAGCGATGCACCCACGCTTTGGACAGGTTCAGCACAGAAGAATGCACCTAGTCCTAGTCTGCAGGATCCACGCTTGAGGATGCTGCTGGGAAATCGCACGCTCTCACTGCGTTCAGAAGTGTTCCTGGGTGATCCTCTCTACGCGGATCTGGTTGTTTTGTCTCGGAATCTCAGCGGAGGTGACGGCGTGCGACTGTCGGTGTTCGTAGGTACGGCTAGGGAGGCCAGCGGGCTGGAGGTGTGGATAGTCTCGGCTAGGATGAATTCGCGTGGTAAGGGTGCTCATGAGCGCATGCGTGGACGACGGAACCGCAAACGCGTAAACAACTGTCGCCTGGTGAGGATGCGAAGTTCTAACTCCCAAATTCGAGACGAGATCCGGACTTTGCTGATTAGAGCAACTCTTGGCGACAAAATCGAGAGAAGCAGATCAACCTCTCCAATGCAGAGACAATCTATCCCTGTACATTGGACGTTTCTGAACACATTTCAAGTACACCACTTGTGTGATATGGATAGTCCACTTGTGTGAGGCCATCTTAAAGGTCGCTTTACGACCTGCTGGGACCTCGATACGAATCAGTGTTTTTGGATTAGGAGCATTTTGGCGGCCGTTTGGCGAAACATTTGACCGACAGATTGGGAGAACTGAATTGAGCCTCAGAACATCTGGGGGGCAAACGCGCTCTTGTTCAGCAGTTTAGCAGGCAATCTAGACAGCTGGTGCATAGCAAACTGCTAGCAACCTACAGCTACTTACCTAAGCATCTAGAGAGCATTTGGGATCCGAGCGTCCCTCTTTTGCTGCCTCTGACTGGCTGCGGGATCTTGTCCCGCTCTTCAACCTTCACCAAGCAAGGGTCACCAACATCGAGCGGACTGACGGCAGTATCGAAGATCGGCCGCACCTGACAGCATTGATCGAGATGAGCATAGGCTCTGCATGAATACCGTATGTTCAGCACAGTCTAGTCTAAGAGAACAGAGTGACGTTGCACCTCAATCTAGCCAACACCACAGACATACCGGGCATCGAGCGTTCTCAACAGGTGAGTTATAGGCTCAACTCCTTTTTCACCGCGTCAGAGAACAAGGCATATGTCCTGGCGAATTGGCAAATGACTAATATTATCGAGACTACGTTAGAGTTGGCCAGCCTTTTGCCCCGTAGCATATCTAGCTCGCACCTGCCTCGCTTCCACGTGTGACGTGCCTTGCTTGATCGTTCTTAGTTCCTATCGAACATTGCCGACGAGATCCTACAGATGCCACTGATTCGGTAAAGTCAACGCGCAAATCCAAGAAGTCGTCAGAAGGGTTCCCAAGAGAATAGGTTAACCGATTGCATAGTTTTGGTACGCACTTCCAATGCTGGCTATCCTGTCAATTCGTGGCGAGCGCTATCGTGAGGCACAGGGCACAAACCAGGGCACCAGCTAATACGACGACAGGTACATTTCGATTCGAACGTTAGATTCGAATTCCTATATATGGGGTAATCTCCGGTACCCAACCAACATGTAAAACATATTACTGACTTTATACAGTAAATTCCGCTCCAGGAACGGCTGGTAAGTGGATCCATGAGGTTGCGGCGACAAATTCCGCTGATCTGCATAAGCCTTACCTGTCGAGCGCGCCGCGTTAAGTGTGAGTATTCTGTTGTAGAGCGCTCCTTCCCATACTGATCCTGCACGCAGGCGACGAAACCCGTCCACTATGCAAAGCCTGCGGCAAGAAAAATCGTCCTTGCCAGTGGGAAGAGCCACATACCAAGTTCAAGGATTACCGGCCTGATGGACCCTCATCAAGTCGATCTGCTGCTGGTGGCACCGATGACGAAACCGAGAGTAAGAGTGACATGATGGAAGTTGACGGTATCGAAGGAGTCGATGGCATTGGTAGAGGAGATGAAGCCGTTCGCACAAACAGTTTCAGCGAGGAGAGCTTCAGCCGGAACACTTCACCGAGACGACGGAAAAACAGTCGGACCGAAGGAGTATCGGAGGGCCAATCTACCAGCGTTTCCTCACCGTCGGCTCACTTATCCCCAGACTCACCATACTTTGTTCCCAGGTCCAAGAGTACACCGGGTGGCGTGTCGGTGGCGAGTCTGCTGCAGTCGCCCGACCCGGACGGCATGTCAGAGGGCTCGTTGCCGATGCATACCCGTCAGGCAATGCAGCAGGCACATTCCCACTCGCACAACCGAAGGGATATGCCAGAGGGGACGAGAAACTATTCACCTCAGCGTGTTTCTTTGACACATGAAGAAGCCCTGCTGGTGCATCACTATACCGAACATCTTGGTCGTTGGCTAGACTGCACAGACGCCACACGTCAGTTTACACTGGGCGTGCCGGAGAAAGTCAAACAATGCCCGGTGCTTTGCCACGCTGTCATGTCCTTTGCGGCTCGCCACTGCAGAAAGGACGCAACAGCTGAAGCAGCCTACCAGCGCTGCATTGCCCTGCTCATCGAACGATTGAACGAGCAAGCGGCTAGCCACGATGAAACTCTTTTGTGTGCTATCGTCATACTGCGTTTCTATGAGCAGCTGAACGGTAGGTGCTGCTATATCCTTTATGCTTTTCCTGCCTAATATGTACCTCTAGTGCCGTCCAGCACTGGTTCTGATGATGAACAGCATCTCGCAGGCTGCTCAGCCATTATTCGATCATCCCAAGGAAATCACTACGTAGATCCATCAGCACCTACATTGCGCGAGGCTGCTTTTTGGGTTTACGTACGCCAGTGCCTCTACAATGCCACCATCAACCAGCAGCCACCTGATATCGACTTCTCATTACGGTTGCACCCAACCCCAGGCTCCCTACGAGATGCACACCCGCTGGCACGATTAAGATTGGAGACCGCTTGGGCGAACCAAATGACATGGAATCTTGCATGTGTTGTAAATTTCTGCTTCGATGGCAAAGAACCACAGAACGAGAAAACTTACAAGATGCGACGATGGAAAGAGCTATGGGACCTTGTCCAAACGTGGATGCGTGACAGACCCCACGGTTTTAATGCGATCTTTGAAGGTCCAGCCGGCGACCAGGGCTCGTTTCCTGAGATCTTGTTCACTGCCGACTGGCACAGTAAGTCCTGTATCCATCCCGAGATCCATTCTTGCGCTGATGCTCACAAACTTATCAGCTGTGTCGTTTGGATTCTACCACTTTGCCTGCATTATGCTGTTGCGTTACAAGCCAGGCCCGAAGTTTGCAATCCGCAATGTTGGGAGCCTTTCTGAAACGGATGTAAGGACCCCAGCCACCAAGAAGAACATCTATTTACTCATCCAAACAGCATCAAATCTTATCGCATGCACGCGCCATCTGCGGAGCCTGTAATAGTTCGCCGGAAACTGTTCCATTGGCGATTACCGTCTGCCATACCATCTTCATATGGGGACCTCTTGTATGCGACCCGAAAGAAAGAGACCAGGTAGTACAGCTCCTGAGTGACTTCGAGAAAAACCATGTGTGGCCGACAACCTGGATCAGCAACGCGTTGAAAGCTGAATGGGGTATCCCCGGCTCGTCCACCTCTCTAGCTTAACACCGTGGAGCTCGGTCTTGAGTCGTCATTGACCATTTGCCCGTAGATACTGCGGTTAAGGAAGTCGCTAGTACCGAGTAAAGTCCACCCTTGATGGTGAATCCATAACCTCACCCAAAAGCAACCATCAAAGTAGGTGCTGGAGGTTATGCAAGATACCCGACGTAAGGAGTGAGGTGCTCCAGTATCTGGCAGCCAGTACCATCGTGCTTTGTACCATAAACATGCCATTAACAAAAGTAGCCGCTCACTACTGTGACCAGATCCATATATTCATCCCCCTTTCTTGTTAAGCTGAATGCGAGTATCTCATTCCCTTTTACGACACCAAGGATGTGGCTATAGCTCCAGACATATCAGTTATCAGACTAAACTCGTGTTTTGATATGCTCCACATCTCGCGGCCCAAGTGTTCGGGTAATCGTTCCGAGTGTATCATGTAATACCAAGGCTAGAACCTCTTCCCATTCCAAGAATTATTGTATGTTGTAGGAAGAACCGAATGTTCTGGTGTGCTCATGTCCGCTTAGTCTGCAGTTATGCATATTATGTGACCCAACCGTCTACTCGATACGATATATAGTCCTTATATGCACGTTGAGTCCAGATAGCTTGGCATCTTGACAAAACGCAAGCTCCTAGGTCTGCTCCGGTTTTCGGTCAAATAGACCGAGAGTGGTCTGAGCTGTACGCGTGTAGCCGTGACCGGTGACTGTAGGATTGGTAGGCTTGTCAACCACGTAGTTTGTAAGCCCTGTATGATGCGGTTGTTCCATTTCATAGTCATGAGCATATCTAGTTTGTCCGTTCGTGATGATTCCAATGGTGCTGACATCTGCTGTATGTCGAGACACTTGCTGAAGTCTGATCGAAAGCTCATTGCGCAATGCAACATATATCAGGTCTTATTTCCATATGGTTGAGCTTAAAGACACACAAGAAGCTCGCTACTAATATCAGTTTCACCACCAGAACCGTTGGTGAGGCGCGCAATACTGAAGCAACGAAGTTTTTCCCAACATCATTCTTACCTTCTCTGTGTCCCCAGAGAGAAGTACCAATGTACGACAGACCATCTGCTCATTGCTTGATCTCGGAGACTTTCTGAGTGCCACGAATGCAGTAGATACGTTGTTCCCAACTGCCACGTCCCCGCACGCACTCAATCCGTAGCTAACCGCCAGGAGAAAGTACCGCTGATGCGCTCTCCTTGTGTAGTCTCCTGTGTATTCTCCAATTGCGGACGTACTGATGAATTTTCATGGGAACTACTGTCGAGCAGCTACGTCACTTTTGACAGCCGGGAGTTTGTTCCGGTCCACTGTCCCCTTTCGCGTAAGTCGTAACGAAGTGCAAGTCACGTCACATGACTCTCATTACAGCGAGACCTCACAGGGTTTGTTGGGTCTTGCATAGCGTTCTTAGCTATCTCCCCACACCCCCACAGCTTACCTTCAGCATGCATCTTCCTATGCAACGCGCCCTATGGGGCTATAGCCCGAACCACCTCTGGCAAAGGCTCAGTTATACGCCACCGGACAGGTACCACCTCCACGACTCAAGTGATTATCGCCTCCAGACTTAGGGCATGAAAGTGCGTTCCTTGATCGAATAGCATTCAAGCCTAGCATGCACCGCAACGACTCGGTAACAGACTATGAAAGCCTACACGTTGATATGAGAGAGACAATGAGTTTCCAATCTGCATTGGACCTCCGGGTACTGGGCGTCTGTTGCGGAAGCGGGCTGAACCAGCTCAACTTCGCGCTGGTCCGGTACCGTCAGTCCTCACCTGACGCTACATTGCGTCTAGAGCTCGTCCAAGTTAGTGCTGTCGACACTGTACTTCTCTGAATGCTGATCAACGACAGAGCGGCTCGGTGTCTACATCGCCTCCTGTTCGGAACCATATCCTTACCTCCCTCCACGAAGCAGAACGCGAATCCTCGCCAGTGGCATGCGCCAATGCGCTACTCGGTTACCTGTTTTCCAACGGCATTAGGAGCTTCTGCGAAAAGCACGACATACCGCTTGCGTCCATTGACCTGGTCGGCACACACGCGTCAGGTCTAAGACGACCTGACGTGCCCGAAAGCAACGATTTGAACACACATCCACTAGGGTGGAACGCCAATATCAGCGCTGAGACTGGCATCAGTACCGTCTTTGATCTTACAGTCGTTGAAGCCGGTCTCGTAAGGCCTCACATATCCCCTATCGCTTACGTGGACAGACTCTTCTTGAGACACGCGTCTAAATTTCGCGCATGTCTGGATATTGGCGAGCTCGTAAATTGCAGCTTCATCCTTCCTTTATCGGACGGGAGTGCTCGAGAAACATGTTGTCGCGACTGCGGACCCGGAAGTCTATTCATCGACTACGCCATGAAATACTGCACTTCAAACGACCGAAACGAAGACAATAACGGAACATTTGCGACGACAGGGAAGCCTCACGAAGGGATTGTGACACAATTTCTTGAGACATACGACTACTCACGCATCCTGCCTTCGCTCAGCGTAGCCAGGGAAATGTTCGGCGATCACGAAGCACAAAGACTCATCGATGAGTGTGTCGTCTTGGAACTCTCTGAAGCAGACATCGTTGCTACTGTTACACGCGTAACGGCTGAGAATATTCTGAGGCAGTACCGCAGACTCCTTGCGCTCAGTTTTCCTGCTGGTCAGAACGTCGACGAACTGTTTATTAGTGGGCCGAGCGCGCGCAACGCGAATATCATAGATTACCTCGAAGCGGAGCTCCCCGAGAGCGTGATAACGAAGCCTCTCGACGATATAGGCATACCGGGTGACGCAAACGAGGCCGTATGTTATGCGTACCTTGCGCTGGAAGCTGTGCTTGGACAGCCTGTACACTACTCTGCAGAATTATCACGGTCTTGGAGCCAGCCGGGCCATGACATTGTACTGGGAAGAGTTGTGCAGGGCGAGAATTGGGAAAACCTCACCGCTTGGCTGCAGAAGTTTGCTGGTGGGAAGCCACGACGCCTCGCCAAAACCGTGAGGATAGTTGGTAGTGTCGAATCTGACATAAAAGACCTCGGGCTATGACGACAGGATAAGAATGGAACTTTATAATGAAGATGATAAGGGAGTGAGGAAGGTCGAGAAGTGAAGGGAGGCAGTACCGCGCTTAATTTTGGGGCAGACCCACCAGGGCAGCTTTGCCTTTCGTTTCATGGAGTTCTACCAAAGAAGACTACTTACGTTGTGGAGAGTTACGAAGCTCAAAATACAGCAGGGAAGGTTTGTGAAAAGAGCAATGTGAGCGCATTCGCTGCAAATGTTCAGTCAAGCCGCATATCCATGTTCGTCAGGTTCCCCTCTTGCAACGAAACCTTTGTCTTAAATAAGTTACTTTCACAGAGCATCGGTGTGTTGTATGATGCCTACATCATTCTGAGAAAAAGGCTGTTTCCGAGCTTCAAGCTCTTTGTCAAAAGGCCCTGGCGGGCGCGGGGACTGCTTATCCGAAGACCCTGGATCACACGCCCAAACCTCGCAACAACTGCTTCGTTGTATCGTATCTCCAATCCCATCTTCTCGTCCTGAGTAACATTGCTCCCCCAGAAGGGCCAAAACCTTTACACCAAATCTCCCAGTTTATGGCCATCTACTTTGCCACATTCCTGTATACACTTTTGGAGCTAATCAAGACGCATACAACCCATCTTAATCTCGTGCAACTAATGCATCTTGCCGGGTTTCAACACTATCGAAGAACAACTAAGCTGCAGTTTCCCGTCCTCCGCAACATCAAGGTCGTCATTGTTACACAGTACGTATTTATATCAAGATGTCATCGTTTTTTTTATTGAGTAAGTATGGTAGCAAACAATAATACTACGTGTACGCCTTATGTGCATGTCGTACAGCATGCGCTTCGCAACGAGAAGCCGCCTGTTGTGTATGGCGAGACTACTCCTCGAACGCACGATCTTTCGATCGATTGTACGATACGTGCGCCTACCACGATTATCAAAACTCCAGACTTTAAATATAAAAAGGAAGCGAAGAGGCCATATACCGCATTTCTAGGTCGCGATGATAGATTGACAGAACTCGATAGATCGCAGAGTCAATACGGAGAATTAGCGGCACGAGGCTGACGATTGTGTGCATGTATGCAAAGATGTTTATAAACTCATTCATATCAATTGTTCGCTCATCGTTCGAGACATTTAATCTAGACGATACGAAGCTGTCGTTACAACCCCTCTTAGGGAACGACAGTCACGGTCTCGTTTTGCTTGCCTTCCACAATATCGCGCATGATGCGAGCCTTTTGCTGCTCTTCCGCCTCGCTGCTGACATCCTTGAACACCTGGTCCATTTCCTCAAGTGTTTTGCCAGAGGTTTCCGGCACAACGAAAAATGTGAAAACGAAGGCGAGCAGACAAAAGACGGCGAAGAAGGTGTAGGCTCCGAAGCCAGTGTTTTGGATGAGAGGCGGAGTTATAAGACCCTGGTACGTGTCAGTTGCGGCTTATATCAGTCATAGAAGAAGTGTGGACCTACGATGATGAAGTTGTTGAACCAGTTCGAACACGTTGAGAGTGCGACACCCTTCGCCCTCAATGAAGACGGGAAAATCTCTGAGGGCATAGCCCATGGGACTGGTCCCCAAGTAGCTCCGAAGCTGAACATGAAGAAGAATAGGAAGGCGACAGCAACCCAGCCTTCCACTGCGTAGTCCAGCCATCGGCCACCAAACTTGCCAACCAAGACGGCGATGATGAGATGGCAGATGAACATGAGAGCAGCACCCACAAGGAGCAACGGTCGGCGTCCGAAGCGATCCATAGTCCACAGACTTGTTACAACACCAACGAGCTGCGTGCAGTTGATGATGCCAGAAAGCAGAAGCTGCATTTCGTAGTCCTGGCCTAGTGTTTCGAAGAGAGAGGGCGAGTAGTAGATAAGAGCGTTGATGCCTATTATTGTTAGTTGTTTCCTTGCTGAAGCTAAATGGAGTACATACCAACAAATTGCTGAAAGAACATGATGCCCACTCCAACGACAGTGCGCTTCCAACACCCATGCCTGAAGCAGTCAAGCCAAGACTGCACCTCAAGCTTAAACTCGTTCTTGCGGGTTTTGGCCTGCAGTTCGGGATGCCTCTGAACGCTGACTTCATGATTGAAAGTGACCTCAGCACGGATTTCACACCATTCTTGAAAGATACGCGGGTCATCGGTAGGGAGCTTACGAAGCTTGCCTAATACGACTAGCGCTTCGTCGTCGCGTCCTTTGCTAGCGAGCCATCGTGGAGAGAACGGCAGGAAGACAATGCCAACACCCAGAACAAGGCCTGGAATCATCTGGATGAGAAACGGAAGACGCCATGACCACTCGCCGGCCATGAAGCGCGTACCATAGGTTGTCCAGAAAGCGATTACGATGCCGAGAACAATGCTGAACTCCTGCAAAACAAGGAGAGCACCGCGAATCTCGGGAGGTGCGATTTCGGAAATGTAGAGTGGAGCGATAGTTGCAAGACTACACGTAATTAGTATACATCTCTTATACAAAGATGGCTGAACTTACGCTCCGATTCCCCACCCACCGATCAAACGTCCAACTGTCTACAGAAAGTCAGTCTACGTCTCAAATCTAGTTCGTATAGTTACAACTTACCAACATCGCGTAGTCCATTGCTGCTGTCTGCAAAATACTTCCAATGGTAAATATGATGACTGCAACGACGATAGAGTACTTCCTGGATAGCTTGTCTGCGATCCAACCAGCAAAGAGAGCACCAATCAAGGCGCCCAGCTCGAGCATAGCAGTCATCAACCCCTTCCAGAAGCCGGCTCCTGATGCTTCACTCGAGACACGTGGGAATCGGCCAAGGAACTGATCCATGACAAGGGTCACCGAAATAACACCTTGATCGTATCCAAAGAGAAGACCGCCGATCGTAGCGAAAGCTGCACACATGGCAACGTATGGGTTGGAGAAGAGTCCACGGAAGCCTATCGTTGGAGTTAGTTTCCATGTATATTCCACTTATGGATCAAACTCTGGTAGTTCACAATGCATACCTGCTGGTCCATAGGGCTCCCTGGTTACCATTCCTTGCTTGCTGGAGTAAGGAGGCATCGACTCGCGCTGCTCATAAGGCGCGCTTTTGATCGAATCTTGTTCACCCATGATGTCGTTCAGTGGTGTGGTTTGTGACGCGCTGAAGCCGCCTATTGTAGTGAATGGCTTTGCCTGGAGGATGCAGTGAACGAGGGGAGGCAATCGACAGCTTTATGCACTTTCGATATCTCGCTTGATGCCGCGTCAATTCTTGTCCGGTGGGCCCACACCATGTACAGTATCTGCCAACGCTAGTGCCAGGCGTATGACTGCCGTTAGGCGCACATCCGACTATTTCCTGGAGCAAATGCCAAGACGAACGGGTTGAATGCCAGGTATAGACAGCGGCCAGCGTTTCCTCAAGTGAACGTACATTAGCTAGGTTTGATAACTACCGCTTGGGAGCTTCTGTCAGTTGATTCTTGTGTGGCTTGGGATCTGGCCGCGTTGTGCGCGTGTGGGGGTCCTGCTGTTGAGGCAACGCCGCTTGGGTCAAAACGTTCGCTCGAAGTTTCTGTGGGACCCTTGCGTCCGAGACTGGCCGAGCGGCTCTGCTACAGATCGTGTGAATCGGTAGTGAAAGCTCGATGAATATCTGGATCTTAATCTTGCTCTCCTGAGGTCAGGTCGCGTGTCATTGACCTGCGGAATCTGTTCCTGAGAGGCTGAAATGACTCCGCAAGCATTCTGACCCCTGTCGCCGTCGTCATAAGCACATCTCCGCATCTTCAAAGGCCGCGGTGACTGTATGGGGTGCTCGGAGACCCCAGAAAACGCGCATGGGCGTGTCAGTACTACCCCAGATTCCCCATAGTTAGGTTCGCGTCGTTCCGCGCGGTGCTGTCGTCCAGTTGGGTAAACGTCTTTTCAAAGCAGACCATCTTGAGGGAAAAACTGCCGAGGAAAGTGGAGGTCGCGGCGGGAATTGCTGAAGAGGTCAAGACAGGCAAGCGCTAGTAGCTACACTAACCCAGATCAGCGTCGGAAGGAAAGAGTCGCCGATAAAGCGGGCCGCACTACTGATTTACAGTAATATCCACCGCCGACTTGGTTTCCTTCCGATATTCTGCTATAACACCGAACAACGTCACTATCTCTTATGATCACTCATCAACCCAGTTTCACTGCAGCTGAAAAAGGTGGGGTCCCCACAAACCCCCCTCCTTCATCGTCTGGGGAAACCACGGCGACGGTGACGGCGACGATAAGTTTAAAGTTTCCTTCAAGGCTGCACAGCGGAAGCGGAGTGAGCCTTTTGACGCCTGGCTTCTATAAACAAGGGTCCATTGCATGTCCCGCATACCTGGGAGGTTCGGTTCAGGCATGTCATACGATTTGTGTATTCTGATATTCTCTTCGCAGAATCGAGGACTCTTGACCAGAGGCAGTGCGAATACACGGAAGGTCTACCTGTTGTACGCTCTATATGATCAAACTATCTTGACAAGGTTGCGCTAATCTACGAAAACGTATTTGTTGTATTCTCCTCGATACAAACCTACGTTCGATCTTGTCTTATGATGCTATAGTATCGCCACCCCTACTACGAGATTATCGACATTGTGAAAGTCCATATCCCTACCGGCTCCCTAGTTCACCGTTCATACATGATAAACACTTGGATTTTCCAGACGTTCCCACCAGTTTCTGCTTCTGGTCTCTCTCGGCTCATTCAACGCTTGGAAAACATCCTCATCAAACTCGGCCGGTAGCTCCCTAAGACTGACGTTCATGACGTCGGTCGATTGCGAGCAATTCGCATACATATCTACCAACAATCTACGCATAGGCGATGTGTGCTTCGTAAATTTGTACGTGTACTGGACAATTAAGCTCATCTTGAGACGCCGAACACGACTGTGAGCACCAACGAAAGCATCCATGACGTCGTTCATCCAACGCTTGTCGTCAATATGCTCGCCAAAGACATAGGCGCGGGCTAGAAATTGGAAGGCAAAATTGATGTT